TGTCTATTCTGATTTTAACTAGTCTATACTGTAGTCTCTCCCGTGGGGTGTATTTTGTAATGGATATCTTTTCATTTGTACATCTTTGAGGAAGTTTATTTAAGTTCTCTGGGCTTTTTCAGATTCCTCTTTAGTTAAGTGAAGATGTGTAATGATGACCCATGTTATTGGGGAGTGATGTTCTTGGTTATAAAGAAAAAACAGTATAGAAGGTGCTAAAGTGAAAGTAAGCTTCATGCTTGCTTTCTTCAGAAGCAACCACTTATTACTATTGTTTAAAAATCTATTTAAAAAAACAGTTTGTGTATTTAAGGTCTCATTTAAAAAATACTCCATGGGATTATACTGTGTAACTATTATTTAACTGCTTCTTTCATAGAAAAAGATATCTTGGACATAGTTCCCTCTCTGCACATTTAGTAGATCTACTGCATTCTTTTTAAAGGCTGAAACCAGTATTCTATAGTGAGAAGACACCATAATTTAACCAGTTTGGAAATCCAAGGACATTTAGGTTACTTTTGATATCTTGTTTCTTTTTTAAAGGTCTAAGTCCCTTGATTTTTAGAAAGTAAAAGTGATGATTAGAAGTGATAGGGTTTTGGTTATCGAAAACTAAGAACACTTTGATTTGGAGATTGTTCCCCTAATTTGTGCATATCAGTATTCCAGTTCCCAAGATGGCATGGACATTTACTTACTTATTTAATTTATTTTTGGTGGCTGGCCTGTATGGAGATCTGAACCCTTGACTTGGGTGTTATGACACCGTGCTGTAACCAACTGAGCTAACCGGCTAGCCCAGCATGTACAGTTTATGAAGTTAACTATTGATTTATCAACCTTGGCTACCTCTCTCTCAGTTTTCTTCTATCTTGTCCATCCAGTGGCATTTTTGAGTTTTGAAAGGTATTTTTGAATATAAAAAAGCCAGAAGAAGTAATCTAGAAAGTGGAATTGGGGAAGTTATTATATTGGAGTAACTTCATGTCTTTCAAAGCATACATACCAACTAAGGTGAGCCTAATAAACGTTAAATTTATCATAATAAGAACCCTCTCCACTTTTTCCTAAATGTTAAATTAACACTCTTATTATATTTAAAAGACAAGGAAATGATCTGCAGAATTAAGTTTTTCACCTTTTCACTATCTCCCAATTCCATCTTAAATAGGGTACAAAAAGCTCTAAAATTTGCATTTCACTGTTCTTCATACTGTCCTTGTTGGAGTTTAAAATCAATAAGTATTTGATATTGTTAAGCTTTATTAAGAAGTCATCTTTAAGCTTAAAGTTATTTATCGGAAATCTTTTCTTAAATAGCACCCCTTCAATGTTGACTACAGCTGTAGAGATTCTTTTTCTTTCCTATTTGTATTATAATACACTCAGTAAAGTTATTTTATGTGTTGAATTAGATGTAAAACTAGACATCAGTACTGATCCTTGGCTTCACAATCTCATTAGATTAGAATTGGCCCTTTTGTATCTGTGATATACAGTGGTTACCTCATCCTTTTCTTGACTTATCAACACCAAGGTTATATTCCCGATGCCTTCATTAAGTTGATCACTAGATTTATATGAAACTCATAGCTTCAAGGTGGAAGAAACCTTAACAAATCAGCCCAAACAGATGTTTAGACTTGATTGTTGCATTTTAAAACTTCATTTTTTTGTCTGTGTGTATTTTCTTCATATAATTACAGTTATTTCTCTTACTGCTTTTTCTGATTACCTGTTAGCTTTAAACTTTTTAACTACCCAAACAGATGTTTAGACTTGATTGTTGCATTTTAAAACTTCATTTTTTTGTCTGTGTGTATTTTCTTCATGTAATTACAGTTATTTCTCTTACTGCTTTTTCTGATTACCTGTTAGCTTTAAACTTTTTAACTTGGGAGATTCAATTAAATTGTATAGAACTATGATTCTAGCATGGTTGATTTTTTAAAACTCTACGGCATTAAAAGTTTGTGGGTATTTGGCTGACAGTATCCAAAGAAATAATGTCAGTGAAAGTGCTTTATAAAATGTAAAGTGCTGTACAAATGACAGCTTTTTAAAAAGGTTTAATCAGCACTTTTATTGAACACCTACTGTGAGACTGGTGCTATCCTAGATGCTGAGGTTACAAAGATGATAAATACAGGAGAATTCCTAACCCAGTTATGTTTATATATCTCAAAGACAGCCTTACCAAGATATAATTCACTATTATAAAATTCACTTTTGTAATGTATATAATTCAGTGTCTTTTAGTGTAGTCACAGAATTTTCAACCAACACCAGTGTTTAATTTTAGAGGACAAATGACAGTTTTTAGTCAGTATTTTAAGTCTTTTCTGATTTTTGGCTTTATCTCAAAGCTTAATTTTCTTCTGTTTTCCCCAAACACATGCTTAAGGGTGAGAGTGTATGGGGTCTGTTCTCAGCTGTAACTATTCCTCAAACAGGAAGTAGAGCTATTAGCTTCCTTCTATTAAAACATAGTGCTGAATGATGTGACACTTATGAGAGTAGATGCAAAAGTCACAAATAGTTTTAATAGTTGACGGTGTCATTTGAACAAATAAAATAGATTGTTCTGGAGGAATCATTTAATATTTCACAAATGTGGGACTGGGAAAGTCTTCTAAAGAAGCAACAGGCTGCTTGAAAGAACAGAAGTCTTCAGTTTAAAGTCAAGTTGTAGCACACCCACCTACCACCCTCCCAAATAAAGTAAAGTAACTTGGTTTCAGAGGCCATTTTGTGTCCTTGGTTTTTTTTTCCTTCAGAGATTAGGTAGGATTTTGTTTTTGTTTTTAAACATTAGTGGGTCTGTAGATTTTGTGAAAATAGTTTGTTAATCCAGGGCTTCCCAAACCTCAAAATGGTTAAACACCAACTGCCACTTAACTGGGTTGCTGTAAACAAAGCCCAAAATGAAACCCTTGTGTATTGGCTGTAGATTCCCAGGTGCCTCTCAAGTGTGGGAATAAGCTCAGAAAAGATTTAATAGGTTTATTAAGTAGTCATCCATTAAAAGGTTCATGCGCTACTTGTTTGTTGCATCTTGCCACCTCACTGTACTGTCTAGAGCACTGAGCACTGTCTAGAGGATTTAGAACCCTCTCAAATGTTCAGGCAGAAGAGTTTTGTCAGGACAAAGAAGGGTAAGGTCACAGAGCTACACAAAGGAGGATTGTAAATCATAAGATACCAGGCTATATTTTCCCTGATGTCTAAGAAGAATATTTCTCAAGTGAAGAATGCAGTATCTTGCCAGGGGTTGGTGGCTAAGTTCATGGAGGTCCCCCACCAACAAAAAAAAATCATTGAAGATGAACACTTGATTCATGGTAGCTGCTGATTAAAAGAAAGCCATAGCATTTCTTAATAGTGTGATAACTGGCATGAACCATGACTTCTTGATCAAATTCAGTCTCAGTGAAGGTAGGTCATGTCGTAGAGATGATCTGAATGATCTTTAGTTTTTTTTTTTTCTTTTTCCTTTTTTTGTCTTTTTTCGTGACCGGCAACGGATCGCAACCCTCAGTGTCGCGCCCGTACCGGACCGGGACCGGCCACGGGATCGCAACCCTCGGCATTGCTCCCGCACCTCGCTCAGCCAGTGAGCGGCCGGTCTGTATGTGGGATCCGAACCCTCGGCGGGAGCGCCACTGCACTTCCCAAGCGGCGCACTGTAGCAGTGCGCCACCGGGCCGGCCCTGATCTGTAGTTTTGATGACATGTTAATTTGGGGGGAGGGAAGGGGATTGTGAGGGTAAAGGTAGGAATACATCTGTTTTAATAGGATTTGGTCTGTGTATCAATGAAACAAACTAGCCTTTTTTGCTATACTTCCTTTGTCCTTGGTGAGAACAGAGGCTGAAGTTTCCTAGAGCTATTGATGAGGCTGGCAACTGTGAGAGAAACTGGACTTTGATCTTCGTGATGGTATTGCAGGGTTGTAAGGGAATTTGGAGAAGACCACAGGATGATGGTGTGAAGAAAAGAGCTGTATTACACGTTGCCTTAAAACAGGAATATACAAATTAAAGCAATAATTTCTACTCTGCTTTCTTGTTTCTATAATCCTTTGTCATTTGATATTTTTCTCCAAAGCAACACGTGACCATTTTCTTCAGGAGGCCATTTTCAGTTATCATATGGATTTGTTGTTAGATTGAAAAAAGTATCTGCCTCATTTTAACAAGTCTCACTATAACTTTTCTTACCACATATAGAGTACTGTTATTATTTTTTCTCTCAGAAACATCAGATTCCTAAGCATTTAACTAAAATGATTATCAACTAAGAATATTTTGTTTTCTTAACAATTCTTACAGATAAGGTTAGACTTAATTATTGAAATGCATCAGTGGCCTTCTGCCCTGCTCCATACTGCCTCCCTCACCAACAAAAATTGAAGAGTAATGCTTTATTAACAATAGCTCCTGTTTACAAGGAAAGCTTCAGTGTTTAGCTAATTATTTGCTAATAAAAATCTTTTAAATGTTCATATTTCAGAACCCTTCAATCAAAAAAATTTCACACAGAAACAAAAAGCCTTGGTGTTTGGTTACTTCCCTAAGTCACTTTCTTTAATACTTATTCTGGTATACTAAACAGAATTGGAATGGAATGGGATCAGGCAAGAGATAATGCAAAGACAAACTCTGAAGTTTTGGTTTTACTTATATATTTGTTTATTTCTAAAACAACTTTAAAAGGATGGTGTTCTGTGATTATAACTTCTAAAACTAAGGGCATAAATCTAATTGGTATTAACAGTTTTCTCTTATTGATGCTTTATATGATGCTTTTTTTTTTTTTTTGTCTTTTTTCGTGACCGGCAATGGATTGCAACCCTCAGTGTCGCGCCCGCACCGGACCGGGACCGGCAACAGGATTGCAACCCTCGGCACTGCCCCCGCACCTCGCTCAGCCAGTGAGCGGGAACCGGTCCGCATGTGGGATCCGAACCCTCGGCGGGAGCGCCGCCGCACTTCCCAAGCGGCGCACTGTAGCACTGCACCACCGGGCCGGCCTTTATATGATGCTTTTGTGATCATTTGTAATTGGATCCTTGAACATACACTCCCCCTCACCGTCACCCTCTAGAATTGTCCATCGGGGTTTAGTTTCCATATTTATTGCCCTTTCATCACCTCTCAGTCCATATATTCTGAAGTTGGCCCTTGGTTTGGATATTCCAAATTACTTCTCCTAAGGTACAGATTTACTGCCAGCTACATTTTTGCATCTAGCCCTAGAGCTGTTTCTTCCTTCCATGATGTTGAGATTTTTTTTTGATCAGAGGAATTACAGTTTATTTCGCTTTACATTTCTTGGATATTTGCATCCTTCCATTACTGCTCTCAGGCACAAAACCTCATAGAAGAGATCCGGAAACCTCTGCAACAACTGAGGGACAGCAATGGTCAGGCAACATGAGCTCATTCTTAATTTGTCTTAATGATTTATTAAATTATTACTCTTAAATTTTAAACTTGGATTTTTGTGAATTTTACATTCTCCTTTGAGCAGTTTCAATTCAGGGCCCAGACTGACTGTTTAGAACTTCCCAGTTATCAGAGAAGAAATCCCCTCTGATTTCCCACAAGGCAAAATAGTGTGGGTTGATGCATATTGAGCTACTTGTGTGCTTATCATAGAGTGGTCATGGTAAATGCTCAGAACTTTCCCAGAGGGGAATCACATTAACGCAAAGATGCAAAATAAAAAGGTGTATCTTAACTTAAATTTCAGGGTGCTCCCTTGATTATATATGATTTCATTATTTTACAGAACTGTGAGAAGAGTTTGTGGTATATTTTCCTTAAAAACTTGATTTTTTAAAAATGACCCCCTTCCCCATTTTCAGAGTGAATGGTTTGCCAGGAGAGTAGAAGGAGGCTGTAGAGGCCTACTTAAATAACTGAGCTATTTTGTGTGTTTTATGCACTTGCCATGAAAGTGTCAAGAATGGAAGTGGATCCAGGAGGTCTTCCCCAGAACCCACCTGTCATATAACACCAAGTTGCTTGGGGGTGAGGTAGAGCAGAGAAAACTCTTTTAATGGTTTTTTATTATGGACTTCAACAAAGCTGTGTCAATTCCCTTGGCTTTACAGACTATTGCCCAGAAGAAAAGATGTTTGGTTTTCACAAGCCAAAGATGTACCGAAGTATAGAGGGCTGCTGTATTTGCAGAGCTAAGTCCTCCAGTTCTCGATTCACTGACAGTAAACGCTATGAAAAGGATTTTCAGAGCTGTTTTGGGTAAGATCATCTGTCATTTGTACCATTCTTAGAGTGGGGGAAAAAAAAAAGAAAAGAAAAAGAAAAACCCACAGCACATAGAAATATTTCCAAGTAAGGTGATTGGAGCAATGTGCTAATAATTAAAATCACTTATGTTCTAATCTAGGCTATTTAAAAACTTATACTCTTAAAATTAATCAAATACTATAGACAGCCTACTTTTTCCAGATTATGAGGAGCCACCAAATTAATTGGAAAGGCCCTTGTAGTTGTAACTAGACAAACCCTTTTGTTGTTAACTTCAGGATCTGTTAAGGGATTAAAAAAAATTACCCTTATTCTGTTTTTTAATAGTGGTCCTCCAATATTTTTCTGGTTTTGTATTGTTTTTCTAAACAATAGAAATATATTTTAATGTAATTTACTGAGGAAGATGATACTAACAAGACTTAATGTTCTGCCCTGAAACCTGTCAGGGTATATTAGCTTTCATTTTATAATTGTATTCTTGTACTTGTCTTTTTATAATGAACCTCTGTTTAATAAAATAGAATTATCTTCTAACAAATACTTCAATAAAATAAGATGTTTAATGTTGAAACATTTCCCATGTTAGAAATTAATTTCACTACTTTTTCTTATCAAAACATATGTTGATCATGGACTGTGAGTTATTTAGAAGGTTGTCAAAAAGAATCTAGGCTCACCATGCCTTTTTCAATTACGTTTTTCTTTTAATGCCTTCATTTACAATTTTATTTATAATATATATTAGTATTTTTTGGTATGTATTTATAGGACAGGAAAAATGTAGTAACTGAAAGTTCCTCAGAGATATAATTAAACAGCTTGGCAACTAGTCCTATAAATTTTTTTCTACTTATGCACATATAATCACTTTTTCAAAATTACAGTACCTCTCTGGTTTGTTTGTTGTGAAACTAGAATATCATGGCACATTATTTTACTTAGAAGGTGGCATTTTGTTGCTTATGAAATACCTGTACATGTCAAAAAAGATTAATTAGATGGCATTGTTTAGAACCATGGTGACCAGGATCTCTACTAGGTTGTAAGTTTTACTGTTATTTAATTTTAAAAACATTTATTTTAAAATGACCAAATTTCAGTACATAGGATTAGTTCATTGGACCTAAAACTTAATTATACCTTTGAAATATACTATAGGAACAATGGGACTGGATCCTCTAGGATGATTAGAAATTGCATCTATAAACTGTAAATGGATATAGTTTTTTCCCAAAAGAAATGTACTTGCATGAATTCTTTAAGGTAAAGGAAACTGGATAAAGATTTGATTGTTTTCTTACCAGGTTGCATGAGACTCGTTCTGGAGACATCTGTAATGCCTGTGTCCTGCTTGTGAAAAGATGGAAGAAGTTGCCAGCAGGATCAAAAAAAAACTGGAATCATGTTAGTTCATCTTTTTTCTTTCAATTATACCTCTATTATATTTAAACATTAATTTCCCCTTAATGCAGGAAGTAATATATCCCTAGGGTGGAAAAGTCTGAAAAGAATAATAAAGAAAAACACTAGCTGCTGCTCAGATATAATCACTTAACATTTTAGCATGTTTGGAACAGAATAACCTATTGTGGCATTTCCCTAAGGCTGTATCCAGTATCTCCCTTTTTTTTAGATGCAGTGTACATTCACGTATTTCATTAGACATGGATCCTTTTTTCATCTCTTAGGATGTTCCTTTGAACTCAGGTTCGTACTAATAAGTATATAGGTTTTAGAATAAGACCTGTATTTGAGTCTTGCCTTTACCAATTACTAGTTGTGGACTCTGGGCAGGTTACGTTTGTTTAATGAAGAACAAAGATAATAGCTGTCTCATAGAGCCATGGTGAGAACTGAATGAGGTGGTATGTGGGGGTATTTCAAAAAGTTCATGGATTCATTTTTCCATGAACTCTTTGAAGTACTCTCATATATAAAGTGTAACACTATAGTAATCACTCAATTAGAAAGAAGCTATTGCTATTCTCTATGTTTAAATCTAGTTGAGATCAAACTAGCATGTTAATTTGTATTCTGTTTGCCTTTTCACTTTCCCATGTCACTGGAATTCTTCATAAAATATTTTTGATGACCAGAACATTAAGTCTTATTTAATTCTTCTGTATGCTAACTTTTCAGAAGATTTATGAAATTTACATTCATTTTTAAAAATAAAAAATTAAAAAAAACATTGTTTCATGTCATGTGATGAATAAAAGTGTACCATGGGTCCTTAAATAATTAAGTTGGCAGGTCTTCAATTTTTTTTCCTACACTATCCTTTCATTGTCCTTTGGTGACAATGTTACATTATTATGATAGGTTGTGATTTTGAGGGTGATGGCAACCTTCCTTTTTATGTAGGGTAGAAATGTGCAAATAGTAAATGTGAATGAGTGCATAAGAAATAGAACCCTTCAGGCCTAGTACATAGGGTTAGTTCATTGGATCTAATTCGTTCATTGGAAGTTGTTGGAGGGAGTGCTGTGGTGGCACGTTTATATTTTGGAATTTAGATTTCAGATTTATTAATCAATAGAAATGGTTGTCATGCTTTTTTTCGAATGATGGAAAAAGACAGTTAAGCTTGCTGACTGGGAGTGAAGGAGAATTCATCTTTTGAGCATTTTGGTGGGTGCACCAAGTACTTTACATACATAATTATCTCAGGCTACATCAATGGCTGAGCTAGACTGTGGGAGCACATGCTATTGCCGTAATGTAACTAACCTCAGGGACTAAGATGTATAGTGAAAAGTGCGTAAGGAATAGGTCTGGGGCTGAGCCCGTGGCGCACTCGGGAGAGTGCGGCGCTGGGAGCGCAGCAGTGCTCCCGCCGCAGGTTCGAATCCTATATAGGGATGACCGGTGAGCTCACAGCGCTCACTGGCTCAGTGTGGTGCGGCCGGTCTCAAAAAGGACAAAAAAAAAAAAAAAAAAGGAATAGGTCTGAAGACCTTGGTTTCAGTCTTGTCCCCCTTCACACCCACTCTTACCCATTTACTAGCTTAGTGAAATAGGGCAAAATACATAATTTCTCTTTGCTTTGTTTTCCTTCCATCTAAAATTGGAGTAACAAAAATAACCCTCTTACTGCTTTGTGGTGAAGGTAAATCAAAAGTATGTGAAAGCTTTTTGCAAACTGTAAAACATCACACTGTAGAAATGTTGTCGTTAGGCTTGATTCTTCTTAACCTAGTTAATAGACCTTGCTATTACCCACTTCAAAGAATATTACCCACTAGATAAATAGTATTTATTATTTCATATCATGTGATGATTAAAAGTGTACCACAGACCCTCAATATTCTGAGTATAAAACTGTGGTTCTCAAATAGGCATGGGTTTGAACCGAAGGGGGGATAAATTGGTGTCATTTTTTAAGTGATATTAAATTAAATATTCAGTATTTTCTTCCAGGTGGTAGATGCAAGAGCAGGACCCAGTCTAAAGACTACGTTGAAACCAAAGAAAGTGAAAACTCTATCTGGAAACAGGATAAAAAGCAACCAGATCAATAAACTTCAGAAAGAATTTAAACGTCACAGTAAGTTTGATATTGAAGCATTAATACTTAAGAGTAATTGTTAGTTTTTATTTGTGGCTGGGGGTGATATATGGCATGGGTGGATCATTTTTTTTTTTTTATCGCTTTTGTAAAAAGTGATCATTGGAAGACCATGTTGAGTTGGTCGAGATGTTATCTTATTTCTCCGAAATCTTTGAAGTCTGATTTTGGTGTCATTACTTCCCACTAGGTAGCCACTTCTTCAAATTGTACTGAGATCACTCTGATGTCTTTATTGACATCTTAATTTTCTAAAGGTGCATTTCTAGCCTGCTTAATTGATTTTTATGCATAAGGAAATTGAGTCCTCGAGATGTGCAGGAAGGTATATAAATAATTAGTGGACAGTCTGAGACCAAAGCCCAGGTTTTCTGGAAAGTAACTTTAGAAATCACAACTCATATTGAAGTAAAGTCAGCCCCGGGACTTTCAGGTTTAAGGGGCAGTGTCTTGTGTGGGGTGATGGAATTGGACAGGAATGTCAAATTAATAGGTTCACATGTTCTTATTGGAAGTTGTTGGAGGGAGTGCTGTGGTGGCACATTTATATTTTGGAATTTAGATTTCAGATTTATTAATCAATAGAAATGGTTGCCATGCTTGTTTTTGAATGATGGAAAAAGACATTTAAGCTTGCTGACTGGGAGTGAAGGAGAACTCATCTTTTGAGCATTTTTGTAGGTGCACCAAGTACTTTACATACATAATTATCTCAGTTGTTTCCATTTTAGAGCGTAGGACAGGAAACACAGAAGGATGATTTAACCTTGACCTGAGTCACTTAGTAAGTGGTAGAGAGGTGAATTTCACCACAGGTTTGTCTGATGTCAAGGCCCTGTGCTCTTTTCTATAATACCACTCTGCTCTCTGGGATAGTATAACCAATGCCCCCCGGGATTTTGTCTTTCCAGATTTACTACTGACTTTGTGTACTTGAGTAAATAGGTGTTTAACCAATGTATGCATAGTTATTCTGATGATATGTTTAATCTTTGGTGAAAAATATTTTCATATATTTATAGTAATATATGAGAATATATGAGAGAAGTGGGGAAAAATCTGGATATGAATTGCAGTTCTTATTGCTTACAGGTAGATGTGTGACACTGGAGTCACTTGATACTCAACCACAATTTCCTAATCCAAGAAATGGGGATAATCAAGTAAAAAATAATTTTGTAAAACAAAACAAATTCCTATCTTCAGAGGTAGCTACAGCAAAAAACCAAAATTCCTATATGTTAGCTATTCATTTTATCCTTCTTCCCAAAATCTACAGTGATTTCTGGTTGCCACAGAATAAAGTTGAAAATCCCTAGAAAGTCTGTGGAGGTCCTGTTTTAGGGAAAGCATATTTGGGCTGAGTCAGTTCCCCACAGCACACAGATTGTCCTTCTTTCATGGCTTTGCTCATTGTCCCTATCCTACCTCATGCTATCTAATCCAAATCCTATTCAATTTTTAAGACTTAAAATTGCAGTTCTTTGAAGAATCTCCAGATCTACATTATAGAAAAGAGTTCTTCCTTACTGTATTTGTATGTAGTTAGTTGTATATATCCTAGTATCCCAGGTATTAGATAAAACCGTAGGAAATTGCCATGTTTTATTGGTAAAAAATGGTCAAATAACTGAAGTTTCAAGTGGTTCAAAGATATTAAGGACTTCCTAGGAGAGTGAGTTTTTCTCAGCAGCATCAAGCTGACTGCTGATGTTTACTATTTCAGAAGTCTCTTAAACATTCCCCTATTCCTTTAAAGCCTGCTACTCTTAAGGATTTTGTTTGTTTTTTGGTGAAGTTGATGACTATTCATATATTGAAAGTAAATTACCATTATCGAAAACACGAATGGTGTGTTGTTTCCGATACCTAATCTTATGTAAACATTTGTTAATATAGAATACTTGTGAGCTCTATTCAAAAACGTTTCCTTAGTCTGTTTCTTCCCGTGCAGCATGTAACGCAGGATTTGATGCCTAATAAGTACTTAATAAATATTTGATTGGTTCTCTGAATTGGAGGATTGCTTTTTTTACCTGTTTTTGAGGGGGGGGAGTCTTTAGCTAAAGGTAAGACGTGTGGTAGGCTCCACTCCTATTTATGATATCGCTGTGACATAGCAGTCTCAAAGCCTTATAGCACAGTGACTATTAACCAAAAAATTTATTTTGGAGTCTTTAGCTAAAGGTAAGATGTGTGGTAGGCTCCACTCCTATTTATGATATTGCTGTGACATAGCAGTCTCAAAGCCTTATAGCACAGTGACTATTAACCAAAAAATTTATTTTCTGGCTTGTAAATTTATATGAAGTCTTCTGAGGCCAAAATATTAAATCAATTTTAGCTCTGCATCTAATGAATTGCCTTTATACCTTATTAAGTCAGGATCTATTTTCCCTTTATAGGTATGGGTTTGTTTTGCGGGGAGGGGGTTGCTTTCGAGATTTTTTTTTTCATCGTTCTTTAGTTTACAGAGGTTTAATTATGATATGTCTTGACATGGATTTCTTTGGTTTTATCCTGTTTGGCCTTTGTTCAGCTTCATGAATCTGTTAGATTATGTCTTTTGCCAAATTTGACAAGTTTTCAGCCATTATACTTGAGTACTTCTTCACCTCCACCCTCTGTTCTTTTCCTACAGGACTGCAACAACATGAATGTAGATTTTTTTTTTTTTTTTTGGTTACAGACCCACAGGTCTCTCAGGCTCTGTTAGTTTGTTTTCTCTGTGCTGTTCATACTGGGCAATTTCTGTAGCTCTTTTCTTCCAGTTCACTGTTTGTTTTCTGTGTCCCCTTCATTCTACTCTTGATCTCTTCCACTGAGCTGTTTATTGTATTTTTTCAGTTCAAAAGTTTCCTTTTTTTTGTCTTTTTTTGTGACCGGTAAGGGGATTGCAACCCTTGGTGTGGTGTTGCCTGCACCGTGCTCAGCCAGTGAGCGCACCGGCCATCCCTATATAGCATCCGAACCCGCGGCGGGAGCGCCACTGTGCACCCAAGCACCGCACTCTCCCGAGTGCGCCATGGGGCCGGCCCCATGTTTTTTCTTTATAGTTTCTCTTTTTTTTTTTTTTTTAAACCGAGACTTTCTGTTTCTTTGCTGAGGCTGTGTTTTCATTTGTTTCAGACATGTTGATAATTGCTCATTGACGCATTTTTGTCATGGCTGCTTTAAAATCTTTGCCACATAATTCTACCATGTCTGTCATTGTGGTGTTGGTGTGTACTTGCCTTTTCATAAGTTTGAGATCTTCCTGGTTCTCAGAATGATGTGACATTTGATTGAAACCTGGACCTTTCCTGATTATGTTGTGCAACTCTGCATCTTACTTAAACCTTCTGTTTTAACTGGCTTTTCTTGACAACCCCTCCAGCAGTGGAAGGAGGAGGGGCACCACCATCTTGTTACTGCCAGGTGGTGTTAGAAGTCAGGTTCCATACTCAAATTCCACGGACATCTGAGGTGGGGGGGCACTCCTTGTTACTACTAGGTGTTGGGGGTTGGAGGAGGCCTCCTTGTTATATCCGAGGTGTAGGGGAAGAGAATTCAGGCTCCCACATGGTGAGGGTGGCCTTGTTTCTGGTAAGCCATGGTGAAAGTCCTGACTCTCCACTAGGCTTCTCTAACATCACCCTGCTGGAGGTGTTGGAGTAGTGTGTAAGAGTCACGAGAGTTAAGATGGAAATTTAGGCTACCCATTTGGTCTTTGCCAGCGGGTGGCTGCAGTTTTTTCTGTGTGTTTGGTGGGTGGCTATAGTTTTTCTGTGGTGTTTAGCTGGAGCAGAGTGGTTATTGTCTAATAAAAGTTTCCTGTCTTGCTAGGCTGCCCTTTTCCCAGTTCTTTGGCTAGAGAGAACAGGTTGTAATTGGAACTTTTTGTTGTTGTCTGTTCCTGCTGGCATTTCTGGGTTGCTGAACTCACCACCATTTCCCTCCTTAAGTCTCAGACTCCCTAGATGGTCATCAGCTTTCAGAGTCTTATATTCATTTTATATATAATGTCCAGGGTTTTTAGTTGTATAAGGAGGAGGAATAGGGAAAAGTATGTCTCTCCATCTTCCTGGAAGTAGAAGTTCTCATTAAAAAAAACAAAACAAAACACACTTTACTACAAATATCTTCAAATATCAGAAGTGAATAGAAAATAAATTCTTTTTTTCCCTTTTGTTTTTTTTCCAACTCATTTACAGTGTCTTATGCTGAGGTTTAATTGAAATTACATATGATGAAATTTAAAATGTTTTCTCTTATCTTTATTTCAGATTCTGATGCTCATAGTACCACCTCAAGTGCCTCCCCAGCTCAGTCTCCTTGCTACAGTAACCAGTCAGATGATGGCTCAGATACAGAAATGGCTTCTGGCTCTAACAGAACACCAGTTTTTTCCTTTTTAGACCTCACATACTGGAAAAGGTAAAAGCAACAGAAAATATCTCTCTAATACCAGCAAACCATTTTAATTACAGGCAGCAGTTTCCCACTTCCTTAGCAATTAAATGGTATTTGGCAAACAGCTGGTAGCACATGTGATTGGAGGTGGATTAAGCTGGAATTGAGCAGAGAATTGGGATTTTGTATGCTCTTCCTATTAAAATTAATTTAAAGTAAAAATTACATCAAGGTACCTAAATTTCCTGTAATGGAGTAGATGAGGTATTCTGACCAACTCTCTCTCTCTGAAAAAGTACAAGTGCTAGAAATATATTTTTATTTTTTTATTTTTTATTTTTTTAAAAAGATGACCAGCAAGGGGATCTTAACCCTTGACTTGGTGTTGTCAGTACCACACTCTCCCAGTGAGCAACTGGCCATCCCTATATGGGATCTGAACCTGTGGCCTTGATGTTATCAGCACCGCACTCTCCCAAGTGAGCCACCAGCCGGCCCCAGAAATATATTTTTAAAAGTCTTTAAGGGCCGGCCCCATGGCGCACTCGGGAGAGTGCGGCGCTGGGAGCGCAGCAACGCTCCTGCTGCGGGTTCGGATCCTATATAGGAATGGCTGGTGCGCTCACTGGCTGAGCGCGGTGCGGGTGACACCAAGGGTTGCAATTCCCTTACTGGTCATGAAAAAAGACAAAAAAAAATAAATAAAATAAAAGTCTTTAAAAATGTTATTGATAAGTGAGTAAGTTAATCAAGAATAGAAAAAAGACAAAAAAAATAAATAAATAAAATAAAAGTCTTTAAAAATGTTATTGATAAGTGAGTAAGTTAATCAAGAATACATTACAGCAATATAACCTAGAAAAAACCTTTAGGACATGCACTGATGTGTACAGCAATGTTTGTAATAGTGAAAGTCATCCATCAAAAGGAGAGTGGATAAATAAAACTGGTATATTCACATGGTATATTCATGGTTAAAATTAAATAAAGGTCTATAACAATGTTTATGAGTCTGAATTACATAATGTTGCAAAAATTTGAAGACTACATTGTGATTCAGTGTGTATGTATATGTATATATAAAATGTATAAGTAATATGTTTAGAGATGCAACTGTGAAATTGAGAAGTATAAAGAAAAGGGGGAGTGATAAACCTAAATTTTTTTTTTTTTTGTCCTTTTTGAGACCAGCCGTACCACACTTAGCCAGTGAGCGCTGTGAGCACACCGGTCATCCCCATATAGGATCCGAACCCGCAGCAGGAGCGTTGCTGCGCTCCCAGCGCCGCACTCTCCCGAGTGCGCCACGGGCTCGGCCCGATAAACCTAAAATTAAAGGAGGAGAGAATGAGATGGGTTAGGGAAGACTGGAGCGGGGCTTACAGGGGGCTTCATAGGAAATTATCTCTTTTCCCTTAGAGTATGTGATCCATGGATATTTTTTGTGTGTGTCATTTTTTTATGCCTTTATGTATTTTTCTTAATACTTGTATATATTTTTTATCTGTTCAGTACTTAATTGAAATAAAACCACCAAATGTACCAGCCTGAGTTGGTGAATTTTGGAGGAGAGAGTTAACAAGTTTAGGAGTAGCCTCTGAAACTGACCGCTGCCTTTCAAAAGTGCCTTCTTAATATTTGAGAATATTACAGTGTGGCCTTTAAGGTACCCATTCCCTAGCCAATTGGGGTCACTCTAGGAGCACTTTCACTTGGAATGTGATAAGATTGTGTAAGCTGAACTTTTTGGTCATGTTGGGCTAGTTATTATGAAGAGTAATTTGGGTTTTTTTTGTTTTTTTTTTTGGTATGTCTGTTTTTCTGATTTATTAATGTATTTTCTCCATTTTTTATTTTAGACAGAAAATATGTTGTGGGATTATCTATAAAGGCCGTTTTGGGGAAGTCCTCATCGACACACATCTGTTCAAGCCTTGCTGCAGCAATAAGAAAACAGCTGCTGAGAAGCCAGAGGAGCAGGGGCCAGAGCCTCTGCCCATTTCCACTCAGGAGTGGTGACTGAGGTTTATGTAAAAGGGGAACAAAACATGATTTAAATTTTGAAAAGACCACAAANAAATAAATAAAATAAAAGTCTTTAAAAATGTTATTGATAAGTGAGTAAGTTAATCAAGAATACTCAGAGGCCAAGTACTAAGTAAATGTGTGCCCTTAGTACAAAAAGTGATAACAGACTAACTAGGAAAGGGAAAATATTTTTAAAGAGAAATTGGTTAAGGATTTTCTAGGTTACAGATTCAGGAAGACTAACACATTAGAAGCAAGATAATAAAAAATTTCACCCATAGACACATCCAGGTAAAACTACAGAATATAAAAAACAAAATAGACCTTTAAGCAGTGAGAAAATCAAAGACATTATTGCCAAAAGAACAACAAATACACAACGCTGAATTCTTAGCATGAGCAAAGGAGGCCAGAAAACAATAGATTAAATATCCTAAGTGGACCAAGAGATAATCACTCTCAACCTTGAATTATGTATATAGCAGAAATATCTTTTATGAACAGAGCATAAGACACTTTGACTGAAAAAAA